GGCTGTATTCTTCAAGTAGCAACTGCAACACTCTTGCAACAATTTCTTTGAATGTTACTTAGTTTTAATCCCCTGCAGTCATGAAATGCAAAAGGAGGAATCTTTGCCAGAAGATGCCTGTGCAGAGATGTGTTCGCAGGACTACGGGCCACCTTCAAACATAACTCGCAGCACAGCTGGATGGGGCCTGGAAAGGCATATTGAACACTAAAGCTCAGGCTGAATTCGGTGCCGTCGCTTAATGTAAGCCCGCTGGGGCAGTTAGCTCTATCTGGCACATTGATGCATTTCCTTCCAACTCTTGCTGCCTCAGTACAACTTTTAAGTCCATAACCTCTTAGGGAGCCTCAGTTTCCAAATATGCACAAGGCCAAGAACCAGAGGCTGGTTTATAGCCAACTATTGGCTTACAGTAAGTATTTAGCACTGCGGTATAAAGCCTTTGCTTGCCTGTCCGTATGCCAGTTGAGTTGACACATTCCCTTCGCATTTGGCTCCCAAAGCTTCACACAAAGCAAAAAAGGGCTGATTTGTTTCTAGCTGAAACATTAAGTCCCTTTTGGGGAAAGCACATTAGATGCTTGGACTTTGGGAAAGAAATGCTGCTTTGCTTAGAAATAAACAAATGCCCACAACTTCTGGGTTTCTAGTTAAGAGTTTGTGCTTGTGTACAATTTGTCTACCTCTTCCTGCTGCCAGCTGCAGCTGTTTTAACTTTGCAAGGCTTGAAAAGTGGCTGGTCCCCATCCTCCCTCACACTCTCCAGCCTCATTTCAGAGCCAAGTCCTCTACACAAACCCAAGATGAAGTGATGCTGTGGGGCGCACGCAGGCCATGGTTCGGCTCCTGTGCCACCCCCAGCAAGTCGAGGGTAGCGCTTGCAGTCCCTCACACTGTGAAGGTGCTTCCCTGCAAACTCCTATGCTAGCAGCCCACACCAGCTCCCTGAGGCTTACAGTACCCTCATGTCACACCCCACGCTGCAACGTGAGCTTTCCAAACAGGGGTATCAGCCTCCAGTCAAGTTGTCACGGACACTTCACTCCTGCGAGGGATGAGACGCAGATTAGTAAGTGCTTTAAACTCAAGGGGGGGGGGGGAAGGGGAAATTCAGGGCC